CTGTCCCCAACTTATACATGCACCCACAGACACATATACATGTATACACGTTAAAATGAAAACAACTTTAAAAATACTTGTGGACGTGAAATGACTTTTCTGACTCTTGTTTTTGTTTGTTTATTTGTTTGTTTGTTTGTTCGTTTGTTTGTTTTGAGGGTATGTTTTGTTTTGTTGGGGGGGGGCGTTGAGACAGGTTTCTCCGTGTAGCTTTGGAGCCTGTCGTGGAACTCTCTCTGTAGACCAAGCTGTCCTCAAACTCACAGAGATTCTCCTGCCTCTGCCTCTCAAGTGTTGGGATTAAAGGCATATGCCACCACCATCCACTGAATTTTCCTCAGTCTTGAACAATTAAAAAGAAGTATACATCCATCAAGAATAAAATGTAATGAGCTAATATTTCTTAAGCACTCTTGGAGACTATATTCCATGAAGGTCTGAGAAGAACTACTCCAGCTGCCTACTTATCTCAAGGCTCTTGCAACTATATTTGGAAGAAAGGGGCGGGGATACAAAGAAGGGAGATAGATACAAAGGGGAGAGAGGGGAGAGCGGGAAGAAGGGAGATGGATGTACGTGTAATTTGAGAGGGGCAGGTAGAGATACACACTGACAAAAATGTAGAGATGCCATAGGAACCGTGACTGCCAGACCTTCCAGAGCTCAGAAGAAAGATGAATGGCTGTGGGTTCACCACAATGGGAGAGCTGCTCACATGCATGGTACCCTGGGTTCAGTACTCAGGCGCCACAAACAGACAAAGGAATAAAACTACAGGAGAAAGATAATTCACTGATGTCTGCAAAGTGTGAAAGAAGGTTGATTTTTTAAAAAATAGATTCCAAAATTGTAGATGATGGAAGAGAATGAAAAGAATGTTCTAGACTGAGAATATAGTACAGTGATAAGAGCGTTTCCCTAGCATGCCTGGAGTCCCGGGTTCAACCATCAGTAAGGGAATAAAAAGAGAAGAAAAGGGGCCCTTTCCAGGAGTGGTGACTGCACCAGATTAATTAGGAAAAGGCCCGGTGGGACGCGCAAGGGGGACGAGGTGACAAGTGGGGGAATTAGTCCAGCCCTGAGCGCAGAGAGCAAGCGCAGAGCTTCAAATGGCAGCAGAAGTGTCTGAAAATCTGTCATAAATGGGAGACCATAAAAGAGTTGTCTCAGATTTTCCCAATATAATTCTCCAAAATTCAACATGGTCACCATATTTATCTATAAATAATTATTTTGTTTGGAGATGTCAACTGGAAATTACAAAGCAAAAGAAAACCTTCCTGTGACATCATGTAATTTCTTCATTATTTTTTCCTCCAAAACCAACCCAGATGGAAAAGTAGTTTGAGGCAGGGCGTGTCTTAATTAGCTGCCTGAGGGACCAGAGGTTCGGGTATGACTCACGGGAGTCACTTAACATCAAGCCACCCAGAGGATGTCATGAATTACCCAAGTTGCCATCTGGAAATGTCGCTGTGGAATGTTTGGGACATAGCCCAGTTGCCAAAGCCCAATTCAGTCCCCTCTTCCTAGAAGATTATTAACCCTTTGGTGCTTGGTTCTGGACTAACCATTCTTTTCTTTCTTGTTTTTTAAAAATTTTATTTAGTTATTTTTATTTCGTGTGTGTGTTTGCCTACATGTACGTATGTAAACCATATACATGTCTAGTGCCCATAGAGGCTAGAAGAGGACATGAGATCCTCTGGAACTGGAATTACAGAGTGCTGTGAGTGGCCATGTATGTGCAGGAGCAGAACCCAGGTTCTCTGGGAAAGCAGCCAGTGTTCCTAAACACTGTGGTATCTCTGCAACCCCCTGGCCTAACCACTATTTACAGACACTGGGAGAAATACACTGTGAGCAGCTCCAGAAAGCAGCTAACCTCATGCTCCCTTGTTGTATGGAAGAGAAGATGGGAATGGAGCAGGTGGCTGGATGTTAGGTCCATGGACCTTTTTCTCGACCTTAAGGCCTCTTCTCTTTGAAGAAAGCTGCGTAGTATAGTGTGTGTTGTCATGTATTGTCTCTGCTGAAGCTTCCTTGGATGCTGTATTCACCACCTGGAGGAAATCACTCCCTCCCCCATTTTCAGACAGAACATGACACCCTGATTCACCTGTTCACATTCGTACAGTCTCCACAGCAATGCCTCCTTAGTTAGAGGTAAGAAGGAACATTAAGTGTAATTACCCCATCCAGAGGGAAATACCCATTCTGTCATCTTCTGAAAACGACACTGTGATGGTTGGGCTTGGGGATGGGGAGACAGACACAAGCGTGTACAGCATCCACAAGAGACCGATGGTCAGCACCAAGCCACAGCTGTCCTGACCATAATTGATATAGTGTTACATGAGGCCATTTTCATGCAAGTAAAATGCACTTGGAGCACATTCCCCTTGGGGCCCCACCCTCCTCCTTCCCCAGCTCCCATCAGCCCCCTTCATTCCTCCAGTCACTTTCACTCCATGACCCTCCTCCTTCCCCAGCTCCCATCAGCCCCCTTCATTCCTCCAGCCACTTTCACTTCTACTTCCCTGTCATCTACATGTAAAGGACTTTAATGCGTCTATAAGGTCTAGAACCCACAGGAGAGAACATGCAATAGTTCCCATAATATGATTCTCTCCACTTGTATCCATTTTCCTGCTGATGACAAAACCTGATACTCTGGCATTCGAGCCTGTGTTCCTGGAGAGACTCCTTCCCTCACTCTAGGGACAGCAGTGACTGCCCTGCCAGACACCTTAATACGAATACCACATTACCTAGGTTTTGATTATCCACACTCCTGACCACTTCCTCTATCAAACATTCACACAGAAAACTAATTCTCATTGCCCCAAACCACCCCAGAACCAGGTACTAGGCAATGCGGGACAGCTGTTACAGCCCAAAGCCTGCCAAAATGACTCCAAGTATCCAATCCGAAGCTTACTGGGCACATCCACCCACTCAGCCATTCCTTCCCATGAAAATCCAAATAGATGCTCTGGGCTGTGCTCCACCATCCACCCCACCCAGTATTTCCTGACCGTCCCTGGTGCTTCTGTGTGGGGGTGTGTATGTAGAGCACAACTCCTGTTACCAGGGACATGTAAGTGTAAAGTTCTTCCTTCCTGTCAATCATTTCAGTGTTTGTATATCATACCACATTGAAGCAAAATAATTCCTGGCACAAACTTGAGAATACCTTCTATCAAAGTGTCACCAAGAAGGATCCCTGAGGTCAGAGGGTAAATGACAGTAGTATATTGCTTTAAGAAAACTAGTCAGTATTTTTTAAGCATGGTGGAAACTCAGATACAATGATATCTGTGATATTCAAAATGCAATGTGTGTGTGTGTGTGTGTGTGTGTGTGTGTGTGTGTGTGTCCAAGGACTTCTGTAAAAAGAGGAATCTAATTAGTTCTAAACATAACCAAGCATAACTCTGTGGTCCTGACAATGGTGGGAGAATCCTAGTTGTTGCTGTTCAGTTTCTGTTCATTAATTAAAACCTGGAACATTCTGAGCTGTCTATTTTCTATTCATTATAATTTGGAACATACTGAGAACTACAGTTGTTGAGAGGTAGCTAGAGACTCTAGGCACAGGCAGAAGCCAGATCATGCAGTCCCACATAAATAACTACCTAAGCTACCTTTAGAGTTTTGCCTTCTTGGTAATACAGAGGTGTTGAAGACATGGCATATGTATTACACCTGGAGAAACTCTTTATAGGTAGAGCTCATGTTCAAAATGTGTAAAAAATGAGAAAATAAGACTTGAAAATTTTAAGAGGTTTCTAAGAAAATGGAAGAGATTATATGAACAGTGCAGGTGACTGGGTCATGAAAACCTTTGCAACATGGTAGCACATGCCAGCAGTCCTCCATGCATTTGGGAGTAGATGCAGGAGGATCCAGATTCAAAGGACAGTCTTGGCTGCAGAAAGAGTTCGAGGCAAGCCTGGGACACGTGAGACCCCTTCTCAAAAAAAAAAGGTCTTCTCAATCAACAAAATTTAGAAGCTATGAAACAAAAGACAAACATAGAAACCCAAAACATTTACAGGGCAACTACACCAAAAACAAAATCAGTAAACTGATGGTGGGTTTCTGAGAGAATCTTCCAATTCTGAAGACAGATGACACTGGTAGCGTGAGAATCCCTGAGAAGTTCACAATTAGGGGGATTAAAACTAATAGAAGGCAGAAGGGCAGAGACTCAAAAAAAGCATGTCAGAGATTAGCTATTCCAGATGAACAACAGCCTATTTTCAGATGTCAAAATCTGTTCATAGTCTGGGAATGTCTTCACAGGCTCCATCATGCATGGAGATCCCATCCGACTCTCATCACACAGTGCTTCAATCTACAAATGCTGTTCACTTCTAAACAAAGGCCTTATTTCCTGAATAAAGATATTATAAAAATAAACAAATACATAAGCTATATTTAGATTTTTGACTCTTAATACATGTACTTGAAGCTCCCTGTGTTACCTTTGTGTGTGTGTGTGTGTGTGTGTGTGTGTGTGTTGTGGGGGGTGGGGTGGTATGCACTCATGAGCACACAGGCCAAGGCCAGAGGAAGCCCTCAGGAATTCTGCTCTTCATTCCCTCTCAGGCCACTGAGGCAGTGTCTTTCACTGACTTGAGGTAGACTGACAGCCAGCAAGCTCTGGTGATCCTCCTGTCTCCACCTCACAGGGCACCGGTGCACCAGGCCTGCATGCAGCCACGTTAGGCTTTTTACATGGGTGCTGGGGATTTGAACTCGGGTCTCCATGCATGGGCAACAAGCACTCTTACCACTGAGCCATCTCTCTAGTCTCTCCTTTAGGAGAGAAATAGCCCCTTTGAGAAAACCTCTAAAGGAATCAGCTATACTGTTTCACGCTCGACTTCTTCTCTAAGGAGCACGGAGAACTTTGGGGGAGCTGCCTCTAGACCCTAGTTCAAAGGAAGCAGAAGGATGAAGGACTTGAACGTGGTATCTATGGATATACGTACCAGCCTTTGCAACAGCCTGAGTTGCCTGGGGACCCTGAGTGCGACCTGGAAAGAGAAAAGAAATACGAAACAGGATTGTGAGGTATTCATAAATGAGTCATGTGAAGGTGTTAAAACCCATTCAGTGGGAGGCATCCAGGCAGTGGGACCAGATCTTGTGCTCATTGCATAAGTTGGCTGTTTGAAACCTGGGGCCTATGCAGGATTGTTTGGCTCGGCCTGGGAGGAGGGGACTAGACCTACCTGGACTGAGTCTACCAGGTTGACCTAAGTCTGTGGGGAAGGCTTTGCCCTGGAGGAGATGGGAATGGGGGGGGGGGGGTTGGGAGGAAGGTGAGGGGGACGGGAGGGGGGAGAACAAGGGAATCCGTGGCTGATATGTAGAACTGAATTGTATTGCAAAATAAATTTAAAAAAAAAATCATTAAATGAAAAAAGGAAAAAAAAAAAAAACCATTCAGATTCACCACTAAGGATATCTAGCTTGAAAAGTAGTTCTGACTTTAAAAAAAAAAAAATCAGAGTGTTTTTCAGGCTGGAATTAGAATCTTAGTCTTAGCTCTGCTTGACTCAAAACCCATGAGGTCCGACTACCTCATCATCTGGGTGTGCCTATGTCTGTAACAGTGATGAGAACAGAGAGAACCACGGGAAGCCTGCATTCTGCTTCGCTCAGTCTTTGGCTTGACATGAAATTCCTTGCTATTGTGTCCATTACATCATTGTAACACACACATTTGGCCTCCTTCTGGTGAGTTCCTATTCAAGGCAAAACTCTAGGAAATCTAGACACAACACTGAAGTTACCCTGAAATGCCTTAAAGATTTCTTTTTCTAGGAGATTTCTTCTATTTTCTCATAGGCAAGAGATGGGTACAGAAAAATAACAAAAATTCCCTTAAGAAAAATGCAGGGGCTGGAGAGATGTCTCAACAATGAAGAGCTCTTCAAAGGACTCAAGTTCAATCCTCAGTACCCGCATGGTGACTCACAACAGTCTACAACTAAAGTTATTGGAGATCCAAAACCCTCTCTGGCCTCCACAGTCACCAGGCATGCAAGTGGTGCACATACAGACAGACAGGCAAAACACTCATAAACATAAAAATAAATCAATATTGCTGGGCGGTGGGGGCGCACACCTTTATCCCAGCACTCGGAGGCAGAGCCAGGCGGATATCTGTGAGCTTGAGGCCAGCCTGGTCTACAGAGTGAGATCCAGGACAGGCACCAAAACTACTAGAGAAATGCTGTCTTGAAAAAAAAAACTTAAATTAATAAATAATTGAAAAGTTAAAATCACAGTAATAATAAGTCAGTCCCTCTGGGCTGATTTAAAATTCTAGCTTCTCGCCAGGTGGTGGTGGCGCACGCCTTTGATCCCAGCACTTGGAAGGCAGAGGCAGGCGGATCTCTGTGAGTTCGAGGCCAGCCTGGGCTACAGAGTGAGTTCCAGGAAAGGTGCAAAGGTACACAGAGTAACCCTGTCCTGAAAAACCATAAATAAATAAATAAATAAATAAATAAATAAATAAATAAATAAATAAATAAATAAATAAATAAATTCTAGCTTCTCTTTGAATATCGCACACAGCGAACCTGTGTTTAAATAACAGAAACATAATAGTCATTGCTATGAGTCACAAATTTTCCTTTGGAAAATATGGAACAGATACTTACTTGAAAAGTATGCCCAGGCTTTACACATTTAAAAATCTATTTTGTCTTTAATTATGTGCCTGCATCTCCATGTGTGTGGTGCTGGACACGGGCCAGAGGCTTTGGGTTCTCCTAGAGCCGGAAAGCAGAACTCTGCTCCTCTGCAAGAGCAGGAAGCACTCTTAACCTCTGGGCCGTCTCTCCAGCCCCTGACTTTACACATTTTTAGAGTTTCTTGAGGTGTCATTTCTATACCATGAAATTCACTTGTTTTGCGCACAAGTAAAAGTGTCTTTCTCCGTAAGGACTGGGCAGCCGTCACCACAATCAGAGCGGTTTCTATCAACTTTCTAAAAGGAAACTCTGGAGCCCGGGGAGATGACCTGGGGTGAAGCGACAGCTGTGCAAGCGTGAGGACCTGAGCTCAGCTCCAGTGCCCGCACGGAAAGCCAGGGCAGCAGAACAAGGACCTGAGCTCAGCTCCAGTGCCCACACGGAAAGCCAGGGCAGCAGCACACACAGCCCAGTGCTGCCGGGGACAGGGGCAGAGGACACGCAGGATCCCTGGAGCACGGCTAGCCAGTCAGGAGACAGCAAGCCCCAGTTTCAGTGAGAGACTGTCTCAGAAAATAAGGTAGGGAGTGATGTGGAAGGAAACCTGACGTGGACTATCCCCTGCCCCCGCCCCCCGACATGTGTGAGAGCTCACACACGGACACACAGACACACACTCACACACACACATACACACACACAGAGACACACATACACACAAACGCACACAGAACTCACACAGACACACACGCACACAGAGAGACACATACACACACAGACACACACATATACACATAAACACATACACACAGAGAGACACACATACACACAGACACTCACACAAACACAGACACACACAGACACTCACACATATGCACACACAAACACACACACATACACATACACACACTTTGCACACTCTGGTCATCACCTCACGATCACTCACCCCCAGCCCTTAGAACCACTAAATTATTTTATATGGTTTTTCCCATTCTGATCAGTTTATATAAATGGAATTATACACCATTCATATTTTTGTATTTTGAATAATACAAATGAGTCTCAAGGCTCATCTACACTGTAGCAGACATTACTTTATTCCTTTTTATTACTGAATAATATTCTATTGTGTAGGTATGCTACATTTTGTTTATCTGTTTGTCACCTGACAGACATTTGAGTTATGGTTACCCTTTGTCTGGTATGAATGAGTCATAACTTGAATTAAAATTTAATTTTCACACACAGGCAATCTTTCCTGAGAATATAGAGATACATTTTTATTTTCCTATGAGTGGAATTCATGTGTCATACAGTAAATTTTACTTTTAAGAAACTGTAAAATTATTTTAAAGTGAGTATACATTTATATTCCCACATGTGTTTATGTCTTTCAGTTAAAAACTCTACTTACAGAAAAGTAAATAAGAGAGGAGAATAGCTAGAAAAACAAAATGTGTAGCTTTTAAAACAGTTGTTCATAGTTGGAGAGAGCCTAAAGTACTGGTTTTCAACCTGTGGATTGCAACCCTTTGAACGATCTTTTCACAGGGATCACCTAAGACCATTGGAAATATCAAATATTTACATTACAATTCATAACAGCAGCAAAATTACAGTTATGAAGTGGCAATGAAAATATTTTTGTGGTTGACACCACAATATGAGGCGTTTAATACATGACATGTATTAAAGGGTCACAGCATTAAAAAGGTCAAGAACCACTGACATAAAGTATCCACTAGAAGTAGTTTAGTTAAATACACCACAGTAACCCGGGGACCAGAGAGATGGCTGTTGGCAAAGCTTTTACCACACAAGCGCAAGGACCTGAGCTTGATCCCAGAACCTACATAAGACCCCAGGTGTGGTGGCATCCTTGTGATCCTGGTATTGGGGAAATCTGGGGCTCACTGGCCACGGGGAGACAGAGATAGGAGGATCGCAGGGGCTCACTGGCCATGGGGAGACAGAAACAGGAAGATCGCAGGGCTCACAGGCTAGCCAATCTAGCCTTAAGAATTCCAGCATAGCCTTAAGGTCCCACTGAGAGACCCTGTCCCCAAATCCAAGACAGATGGACATCTTCTGAAAAATGCCACCCTAGGTTGACCTCTGACCTCCACATGCACACAAGAGCACAAACACCCACACATCAACATGCACACATACTACCCCAACACACACAAACCTACACACATACCTCACTACAAACGTACACACATACCCCCATACATACACACACACACACAAACATCTTCACATGTGCCCATACACATGATGATAAATAAATATTGAAAACAACAAAGTAAATCTATATTTATTGACCAGCAGATATATTGCTGAGCTTCAGTATGGTTCATTACGTACGTTTCTAGCTGCTCTCTGCCAGAAAGATCACCTGCTGTGGACAGATGGGGCCATAGGGACAAGCTCTGGCCAATACGTTATGGATGTTAAGTAACATTCACTTCTGGGCCAAGTATAAATTACAGATATTTACTCTCTCAGAGCTGCCTGCTCCCTCTGGTACAATAATTAGTCATGTCAGGGGTGGAGGCAGTTCTCCCAAGTTCACAAGTGACCGCATGTGCATACCTGTTCCACTGCCAGCCCACAAGAATGTATAAGCAAGAGGGAAATATGTGTTACTTAAGACATTCATATATGGAGTTGGTATCAGTCATAACCTGCTATATTCTGACTACCATACTCATCAAAGTTTGGGGGGGTTGGGGAGGGTTTTGTTTTGTTTTTTGGTTTGTTTTTTTTTTTGGTTTTTCAAGTCAGGGTTTCTCTGTGTAGTGCTGGCTATCCTGGAACTCACTCTACAGACGAGTCTGGCCTCAAACTCAGATCCACCTGCCTCTGCTTACCCCGAGTGATGGGATTAAAGGCATGCGCCACCACAGCCCGGCTTCATCAAACATTTTAAAACACTAACCCAGGGAACAAAACTACATTTAACATGATTATGTTTTCATATATATTTTATTATTATTAAGAAATTTTCTACCAACCACAGATTCCCCCTCCCTCTTCCCACCCCCCAGTGTTCCCTCTCATCCCATCCCCCATTCCCACTTCTTCCAAGGCAAGGCCTCCCATGGGGAGTCAGCAGAGCCTGATACACTCACTTGAGGGAGGTCCAAACACCTCCCCCTGCACCAAGGCTGTGTAAGATGTCCCACCATAGGCAATGGGCTCCAAAAAGCCCCCTCAAGCCCTAGGGATGGGTCCTGATCCCACTGCCAAGGGGCCCCTTAAGCAGGTCAATCTACACAACTGCCTCACCTATGCAGAGGGCCTAGTCCAGTCCCATGAAGGCTCCA